TTCTACAAATACTATAATGGGCACTGCTCTAAAGAGCTAGCGTCTCTTGTGCCATCTACTAAAATTCATTCTCGTGTTACTCGTCATTCAATTAAGTCTCATCCTTTTTCTGTTACTGTTCCTAAGTGCTCCAAAAACTCTTATTCGTCTAGTTTTTTTCCTCAAACATCAGTTCTTTGGAATTTTCCTTCATCTTGCTTTCCTGATTCATATAATTTGCAATATTTTAAGTCGTCTGTCAATTGTTATCTTGCTCTACAATCTTCATCTTTTCTCTTCCAGTAACTTCCAACACTAATTAGTGGTTGCTTGCAACCTTGTTGGAAGCGAAGATAATTAAAAAATATATATATATATATATATATATAAATAATTATACATATATACATATATATATAATTATATATAAATATATACATAATTATATATATATATATATATATATATATATATATATATATATATATATATATATATATATATATATATAATTATATATAATTATATATATATATATATATATATATATATATATATATATATATATACATATATATATATATATATATATATATATATATATATATATATATATATATATATATATATATATATATATATATATATATATATATATATATATATATATATATATATATATATATATATATATATATATATATATATATATATATATATATATATATATATTGGAGTGATTCAAATTTTACCAATTTTTGAAAATCAAGTTGGTCCTAAAAGAAAAGTGCTTTCTTAGCAGCTTTTTTTACCCCAATTCACCCTTTTGTTGTTTTTTTACCCCAATTCACCCTTTGTTGCAATTCCCTTTTGTGCTGTGTAGAATTTTGCAGTTGGTTTTCTTTTGTGCTCGCCAAATAGATTGATTGAGACAGTAAAAAGTCAACAACATTTCCACCTGAACTAACAACAAAATCTGTACACACATGCAGCAAATCTCTGGAGGAAATATTTTTGGAAACTGAAGTCATGGCAATATCTTTGACAAAATTCTTGGCTAACTGTGGTGTGTCATTACACACCACAGTTAGCCAAAAATTACACATGTGGAACATGATGGATGAAATCAAAAGAACAATCTGAGTATATGCTGTGTTTATATCACTGGTTTCTGAGGAAAACTGACGCTGTGTTCAAATCATTTTTCTGAGCAAACTGTTCAGCACCATTCCCTGCTATATCTTCTCAATTCTCCAATCATACAGTTTGTCTTTTTTACCCGAGGTCATTTTACAACTGGCCTTTTTATCTCTCAAAAATTTTATATTTGTATGATATGAGTTCTTATTAAGGCTAGTCTTCTTTAGAATATCTTGGATATTTTGTTTCCTGCTTCATTTGAGTTCTTAAACTTTTCTTTAAATTCTCCCAGCTGTTGATCAGATCAGTGATATGCTTCCTGTAATAATATATGTAAAAGGTTTATAAAATATTATATTATACTAAATTTTTATAGAGTATTTTATGGTAACCTATCCCTTTAATATGAAATAAATTTTGTTTGGCCTAACTTATAAACGAATTGCATCCTTGTATCCTTTATCTCGGTAATATGTTCGTCCATAAAATTCAGGAATGAAAATGTTATAATGAGTTCAATATTTATATTGTCTTTTTTTCTAAAGAAATTAAAGTAATTTTAAATAATATGATTTTTAATGGAATTTAAATAATTTTGGGGGTGTTACCCCCCATTGAAAAAAAGGAGGGGGGATAAATCACAAGAATAAGATAAGAGGGGAGGGGGGCAGTGACATCTATATAAAGATTAAATAGTTCTAATACTAATTTTCAGAATTTGACCTAAAAATGATGAGTGAAAGTTACAATTTTATCTATTTTTGAGTGAATGTTTGCTAAAAACGATGAGTGAAAGTTAGCTAAAAAAGCAGAAAAAAGAACTGATCATTTATGTGTTGAAAAAGCAGCAGAGCTGCCAATATTTCATAGGAGGTAGAGGTCACTGACACCACCACGAAGAATAGATAGGTAAGGATTGCTGATAGGTAGTCGTGATTGCGGTATTTAGAGAATCAGTTTAGGTTTCTGCTATTGGTGCAAGGTAATTTAGTGGTTATCGGATGGTTTGTGTCTGCAAGGATCTTTTTAAGGATATTAATAAATATCTTGTCAAGTAATTCTTCAATATCAAAACAAATATTGAGATGGCTCAAGTTGGTTGCATCAACTCCGATGATGTATAAGGCATTTTTGTGGAAATGTTGAATCTCTTTTTTTGCTGCAAGACTGCAAGAGGTAAGAACTGGGGCACTATATATAAGATTTGTAGACTTGTAGTAGGTTGGGTTGAGTGTGTCTGATTTGCTTAAGATGCTTGAGTAAAAATGGCACTGATTTTATAGTGTTGTGCACCTTTATCCATTGTTCATCCCAATCAAGATTCTCATTGAGCAGGATTCCAAGGTATTTATAGCGGTATACAATTTTGAGTTCAGTTTTATTGAGTATGGGAGATGGTAAAGCATGAGTGTTGGACCACCAGGTATTGATTCTACATTTTGAGCTGTTGAGCCTCATTCCATTGGCCACAGTCTATTGAGCAACGCCATTAGCAATGGATCGAGGTAAATTGGCAGGCACTTTATCATAGATAATGTAGGTCAGGATGTCATCAGCATACCTTTTGAGAATGGTTTCAGGTGGGAGGTAGGTATTTATATCGGAAATAAAGAGAATGAACAAGATTGGTCCAAGAACACTACCCAAAAGTACTCTGGCTTGTATATATTTCCAGTCAGTGGTGTGATTACTTGTTTTTACTCTTTGGCAACGATTAGATAAGTAAGCTGCAATCCAAGATGTGAGCCAGTTAGGTAGAATTTCACCAACTTTAATAGCAACTTGTCATGATCAACAAGATCAAATGTTTTTGCAAAATCGAAGAATATTGCAAAAATTGATTTATTCTTATCTTTAGCATAACTCCAATCCTCTATAACTTGAACAATAGCGTCCATTGTACTACGGCCTGGAAGGAAACCGAACTGTTTGTTTGAGACCCAGATGTGTTTGGTGTGATGGACAATGAATTTGGTGACAATGCGTTCAAAAACTATGCATAACGCAGACGTAATAGCAATCGGACGATAGTCATTAGAAGATAGCGGGTTAGAGATTTTAGGAATTGAGATCGTCAGATCCTGTCTTTAGTTTGCTGATATAAATACGTTTTTTTTTACGTTTTACGTTTTACGTTTTTTGGTGATTAGTTTGGTGACTCGATTTGCAAGTACTTTCCACGTTCTCTTATAAGGCTCTGAAAAAACGGCGTCGTCTGAGTTTTGAGGTTGACAAGTGTTGTAGTTCTCAATGGTTGGCAGATGTCTTGAGCATAGAGTACAGAATAATAAAAGTTGTTGCAGGTGGCTTGCATTTTATACGGTGAATCAACTAGAGTTTCAAGATCGGTACATCGTATTAATGCAACAATAACAGCAACTCTACCTGACAAATATGTAACCTTTCGGGGAGCCGGTCGAGTGGTCTGAATTTCCAAAGCTGAGAAGGGTATTGGATACGTAGCACTTAAGATGATGTCCAGAATTGCTGATTTCTGGGTAGGTTGTGAATTAAGGTAAATGAGCTGGTGAGAACGGCAAATAAAGTCAGTAGGGCAACCATTTAGATCATCAAACCAGCAATAACCAATAGATTAAAGTTATTGCTGGTTCGATGAGTTGTGCAAGTTGATATGATGCTTCATGTTGTGCATTTTTAGACCAAACCAGGATATATACTCATATTATTAGACAGGAGGAGTATCCTCGGGGCAGGTATTTTGGGTACACTTGAGCAATAGTATGACTTCTTCTTCAGGTACTGAATTAGATAGGAAGTTGGTTGAGGGTTTTATCTATTCTATTTTATCTGAATATTTTTCGTTTATAAATATAATAGTGCCACCACCTATGCGATCCTGACGTTCAGTGCTTATGTAAGTGTAATTACTATTGACTTGAGAGAGAATAACTTGCTTATCAGCAGAGCTTAACCACATTTCAGTTAGGCAGGCAACATCAATGTTGGTATCTGTGAGAAACTTTTTTTACAGAATAAACACATGTTAGAGGTGCAGATGGTTGGTAAGCAATTGGTGTTGGCTTGTTGAGCCTTCCTGGGGTAGTATTGTCAGAAACTGGGGCATTCGTAAGAGAGCAATCTTGACGATTGCTCTCTTACGAATGCCCCAGTTTCTGACAATACTACCCCAGGAAGGCTCGTTTGAACTTGCTTGGGTGACTGATTGAGAGTTAAGATTGTTTTCTATAACAGCTACTTTTTGTTCGAGTTTTTTGATTTGGTTGGCTTGCAAGTAGATAGTTGCTTTCTGTTTTAAAATGATGTTCATGAGCTCCATTATCCAGATATCAAGGTGGGCGATTGATGGTGCTATGTTTTTAACAGCAGAGTAACCATTGGAATCAATTTTATTAAACATATTACTTTGTATTAATTATACCACTTCAAATTTTTTGATAGGAGGGCTACCACCCTATGACAGTAGATTAGCTCGGGTCGTGAAATTATATATTTTATTAACACAAATAGAACTGTTAGTTTTTTTGTTTTTTTTTAGTTATACATAGTAATGCATCAATTTATGTAAAAACCTGTTTTATTCACCACTTTCTACAGATCATGTGGAAAAAAAACCCACCTTTCTTTTTGGTCCTACCCTATTATTAATAACTAGTCCAAAATGTAACATATAGAAGAAAATTTGGCTTTCTGAATTGATTTTAAAGGTCTCTGCATAACCTCTGAAGTTTGACATGTTTTTATACACTAATTGGACTGGCAAGGACCTCAAAAATCATCAAAACTTTTGGGCTTAAAATTATTTTTATATTGGTGGTTAACCATTCCAGGTAGGAGCAGCTTGATTTTCAAAAATTAATAAAATATGAATCACCCTTTTATTTTAAATTTAAATATTTTACCAGGTAAATCAAAAGTATTAGATGTTTTGACAGCTTTAGCATCCTAAGAAAAATGAAAATAATATGGTATTAAAGACTTAAATGTTAAAAGTATTTTTACACAAATTTTTGATATTTTTTAAAGAGGTAATAAAACACTATATTACAATAAAATACAATTTCTTTTTATGGGTAACATTTTTCATTTGTGAAAATTTTAACAATTCAAGCAATATTAATATAAATATTAATTATATAAAATTAATTAATATTAATATAAATAAAATCTAAAGTTTTATTCATAGAAAAGAAGCTGTACTTTAATATAATATTTTCGGGCACAATTTTTACTAGTTAAAAAGCTTTATTTAGCGCAAATTAAAAAACCAGCCAGAATAGTTAAATTAAAAAAAACTTAAAGATAAAAAAAATAACAAACTGCAAGTTGCATCTTGAGTTGAACAATTTCATTTTCCAAACATTTTTTTTCCTCTTCTAATTGTTTAGATTTAGCGACTGCAATAAGTCTCAAATATTTTTCTTTTCTACATTTTTCTTTATAAAACTCCTGTTTTACTTTTTCTCTCATCAATTTCTCATTATCTCCTAAATATTAAAAATACATTTTTCTTTATAAAACTCCTGTTTTATTTTTTTCTCTCATTAATTTCTCATTCTCTCCAAAATATTAAAAATACAGAATATATTCTTCAAAACAACATAATTTTGGTTCTTTGACATTAAAAAAAATGTGATACCATCAGAAATTGATTCAAGTGTGGATGATATGCTATTTTTAACATTGATTTTATTAACACGGACAGATGTATTTGTATCAGCATAACATGATTGATAATTGGTTCTTTTAGTATCTCTAAACACATATAATATAAAAACTTTTGTACTAAAGTATGCATATTTTGAGGTTTTAAATTATTGATATTCCCTGCTTTCTATAAGAAAATTAGATGAACTTTGGTTTGAAAGTAACTAAAAATTCATTGGTTTTATTTAGTTTTTGAAAAAGGTCATTAATCATTAATCATTGAGTCCCATAAGTTTTTTCTTCAAAAGAGTTTGATAGAGATTTCAAATTTCACAATATTTTTGATTAATTATGATAATAGTGATTTTTATTCGAAACCATTTCTAAAATTTTTATTCAAAACTATTACTATTTCTAAAATTTCTGATGTTTTTTATTCAAAACCATTACTATTTCTAAAATTTCTGATCTTTTTCAAAAGGTAATATCAAAATGTAGGATGACACTCCATGAAAAAGAGAAAAGGTTATCACTTCAAGTGAACTTCATTGAGTCAAAAAAAAATTGCAAAATGAGTGTGGAGTAAGTTTGGGGGCTGTAAACAAAATCATTAATCAGAAGCAGAAAACTGGATATGTTGCTATACAAAGAATAGGAAATGAATCAGAAAAAAAAAATATTCACAAGAGATGAAGCACATTTGATTCGAATGTCTAAAATAAATTAAGAATGACAGGTTTTGACCTGCAAAAGATTTGGAGGCCAACGGAGTGAAGATTCACAACTTTACAAAGATGAAAAAGCTTATTGAATCTGGAGAAAGTCAGTTAGACCATAGAAGAAGCAGTTATTGACAGAAAATATAAGTGATATACTTGGGGAAAAAAATTATGCTATTTGGACAGTAGATGAATGGAAAAAAATTTTATTGTTCCTAATTTTGTAGTCCAAGGATAATGGTCAGGATATGTAAGAAAGAGCAGTGATGAAAAATTAAGGGCTGCTCACATTAAACAAACTGTAAAACACCTTCAAAAAGTAATGTTTTGGGGCTATTTTCCACACTATGGCTAGGGTTGACTGATTTCCATTTAAGGAATGATGATTCCAAAAAATATAAGGAATTAACAAAATGAAAAACTAAACCTGGAGTTGAAAAAAGTGGATACTAGTAGTTTGGTATGGTCCCAACAAGATTTTGTACCTTCTCATAGGTATAAGAGATGATAAAGTTCTTCCAAGAAAATAACGTAAGACTATTGGATTTATTATGATTAAATTAATTAATGTTTTTTTTTATAATAAAATGTATTTATTTGTTTAAAAGATAATTTTTCTGTTTTACATTAGTTCACACTCTCTTGTATTTTTTTTACAGGAAACAGAGGATACCAAAAAGTTAAAATCCTTATTCATAAGTTTTATTTAAATTATACAATACCTTAGTAATTTTTTTGTAATTTTATTTTGAAATGATTTAGTTTGACAGCTATAATTAGATGATTTCTTTGGCTGTCTTGTTTCTGTACAGCTTCTGCCACTTAACCATTGGTACTGTTAAAGAAAGTATAACTATTACATAAATAAAAAAAATATATATATACATACATTTTATTAATTAATATAAAATATAACAATTAGTATTATTAATCATATCTTCAAAATAAAAAGCACAACTTTTTTTTACAATTTTTAATAAAAACTAACAAACAAAATGTAAAAAATTTAAAAAAATAAATAAAAGAATATGGAGATTCTTTCAAAGAGTATGGAGATTCTTTTGAAAAGTATGGAGTTTCTTTCAAAGAGTATGAAGATTCTTTCAAAAAATATATTAGGTTTTTGCTTATCAATATAAGAAAATTTACATCTATATGTTCCCCTCTTGCATTTATCATTACTTGTTCAATTATTGAGCGCAGCAAACCATAATCTAAATTTAAATTTTTGATATCTCATTATACTTGATAAAACACAAATTATTATTATTATTATAATTTTTTTATTGTCACAAACGTTAAAATGTATTTCCATGCATATTTCTTGTAAAATAAACTTTGAGAAAAGCAAAGTAAAAATAAATTATTTACTTATTTAAAAACACAATCTCCTAAGGAATTATATAAACTGCTTAAAGACAATCTCCTAAGGAATTATATAAATTACTTAAAAAACAATATGAAGAGCTGATTGCTATGTATTGATGTCATGCAAGAACTGATTGCTTTGTATTGATGTCATGCAAGCAAAAATTGCGCACATAAAGTAACTTTATTTTAAAAAACTTAATTTAAAAGAATTAATTGAAAATTAAGTCATAAGAAAGAAAAAATTTTTGATTAGCATTTGTATGAATAATGTTAAATACCAATCTGATTTTAAAGGGCTGCTACATTATACCCTTTTATAACAGCATATTCATATTCAGAATTTAATCTTTTGATACCTATTTGTGGATTCCTTCGTAAATCTAACACCAGCAATGTTTTATTAAAAGTAATTGCTTGCTGAATAATTAATGCACCCTCAGAGGATATTCCGCATTGTTGCAAATCAAGAGCTAAAAATAAATAAAGAATTGTCTAAATATCTTTGCAATAAAAAATTAACATAAACTTTATATTGTTTCACTATTAAAAAAATAGATAAAAAACTAAAATAAAAAATAAAATAAATAAATACAAACTAGGTATAACTTATAAATTTTCAAAAAATTTCTTATAAATTTTCTAAGATATTTAAAAACCTCTATTAAATCCAAGCAAAATCTCTACACAAGCTTGTGCATCAAATTTTAAACAACACCAATATTACAAAAAAACATGTTAATTGATTAAAACAGCACTGATTAAACCATTTTGAAATGATAAAAATACTTGATTTTATTCTACTTTAACTGAAGCAAACTTTTCTTTAAAGAAATGTTGTTAAGAAAAACTTCAATTTATGTTTTCCCTGAAAAAATCTGTTATAAAGAAAAATGTTGTAAATAAAAACCTGGCTTTTATTTACAGCCTGGAGACTATTTTTAAGGGCAACAGGTACTTGAGGAAAGTTCAAAGTTGAAATTTAAAGATCTTATTTTATCTTTGAAAAAATAAATTCAATAAATTTCTTTTTTTTTTTTTTTTTTAATTTAATTGATTTTTCAAAAGAGATTAAAATGCATCATTTCTAAATTGAACAAAGTTACAAAACTATAAGAGAAGTAAGTTTGAAAGCAGTAAGTTACAAAATATTTTAAAATCATGTCTAGGTAGTACCAAAACCATGGCTAGGTAGTACCGAGCTGAACTTATAAATCCCTAAAACCATGTCTAGGAAGTACCAAGCTTATCTTATAAATTCCTAAAACCATGTCAAGGTAGTATCAAAACCATGTCTAGGTAGTACCAAGCTCATCTTATAAATTCCTAAAACCATGTCTAGGTAGTACCAAGCTCATCTTATAAATTCCTAAAACCATATCTAGGTAGTACCAAGCTCATCTTATAAATTCCTAAAACCATATCTAGGTAGTACCAAGCTCATCTTATAAATCCCTAAAACCATGTCTAGGTAGTATCAAAACCATGTCTAAGTAGTATGAAGATTTCTCCCTGAAGAAATCTTGTTTATCAAGATTTGTATTTTGGAATAAAATGATTGAAAACTTTGAAAATTTACCAACACAAATTGTTTAAAAATTTAGTCTGACCATAGTAGAAACTTCAAAATATAAGTGAGAACCTCTATACTTTTAACATATTTTAACATATAATTTGTTTTATATAACTTAAAATCTATATAGCCAATATTATGATATGATATGATATGATATGATATGATATGATATGATATGATATATATATATATATATATATATATATATATATATATATATATATATATATATATATATATATTTTAATTATTCACCTTCCCAAGGCCCGAGGGGGCCACTACAGTCGAGAAGGTTACTGATTTTTTGTTGTTGTTGTTGTTGTTGTTGTTGTTGTTGTAAATCATGGTACAACCCTCTCTCAACTCTTTAACACCGAAACACAAACCTTGACAAGCAAGGCCACTGCGCGGAGAAATTAAGTTGAGCGCGGTACTTCCAGGGACGTGGTAGGAGTCGAACTCCGAACCTCTCGCTTACAAAGCGAGCGCTCTTACCACTACACCAATACTGCAAAAAGGGCGAATTAGTAAAAGTTTTTTTTTAACTTTAAACAGTTAAAAGCCTGTTTGAAAAAATTCTTAATTTAATATTGTAAAATTAGTTTGTTGAGGTTAATTAACAACTTTTTTAACAACTTTTAAAATGCTAATAAAGTTAAATAAAAATATTGAGATTTTTAATTTAAGAGATTTATACTATCTAGATACAAATGCAACATCTTTAAATAACAAAATTGATGAAGTTAGAAGTCTGTGTGAAACTTATAATCCTGATGTTTTTTGTTTTACAGAATTGTGGTATAATTCAAACTCTAATCTTTATATTGAAAATGATCAAATATATAGAAAAAATTGAAAAACCCGTGGAGGTAGAGTATGTATATATATTAAAGATACTTTAACATTGAATGAGATAAACATTAATGAAGGAGACAATGCACCCAAGCAAATATGGATAAATGTTAAAGTTGGTCAAAAAAGGATAGTTTTTGGTTGTATTTACAAACTTCCAGACCCACTTAATAAAAATAAGAAAATAAACAACGAAATTATCAAATCAATAAATACAGCAACATTATTGGTTCGGCAAAAGCAGTTTTCAAATTTAATAATAGTTGGAGATTTTAATCACAATTCAATATCGTGGTCTAATGAGAGAGTATCAAACTCAAACAGAAAAATTTGTTGTTTGGAGGAAAACTTTTTGTTCCAGATAATAAAAGAACCAACTTTTCAAAAATTTAATGAAAAATTAACAAATGTTTTAGATCTATTGATTGTTGACGATAAAAATCGAGTTAAAAATGCCATCCAATTACCACCGTTAGGCAATGAAATCCAAGGTCATTACATAATTAAATGGAACTTTTTAATAAAAAAAAGTTATAACTTAAATGTCGGATTGAAATGTTTTTTATATAAAGCTGGAAATAATGACAAAAAAAAAATTATTTTAATAAATTAGATTGGGAATTCATATTTACAAATATGAATATCAATGAAGATTATGATTTTTTTACTAAACATTACAATATAGCTTGTCAAGAAAATATACCATATAAAAATTTAAAAGAAATAAAAAGAAAAGGTTGGATGACTAAAGAATTAAAACTTTATATTAAATCAAAAAACAAATTATGGTTACAATATAGAAGGTCGAATGATAAAGATAATAAAATAAAGCACAATGCTGCTAGACATAATGTAACAAAAAAAAATCAAGGTTGCAGTACAAAATTTTGAACACAATATAGCAAAAAATGCTAAAACAAATCCAAAATTGGTGTACAGATAAATTAAATTCAAGCAACAAATAAAACACTTCATTAAAGCCATCAAATTCGAGGGAAATATAATAACAGACTCAAAAAAATATTATAGAAATCAATATTTGTGTGTTCTATATGTAGAAAATGAGCAGTTATTGAAATTTGAAAATCTAACAGATAAAATCATTGACAATATATATTTTGATAAATGTGATGTTTTAAACAAACTATTAAACTTAAATACAACAAAATCAATGGGTCTGAATTGTGTGCATCCCTTTGTGTTTAAGTCGTGTGCTGATGAACTTGCATTGCAATATTTTTATTATTCAGAAAATCAATAGATGATGCAGAGGTACTTAAGGCATGGAAACTTGCAAATATTTCCCCATTGTTTAAAAAGGGTAGTCGTTTAAAAGCATCTAATTATTGTCTAGTTTCTTTAACATTGGTTCTTTGTAAGACTCTCGAAAGAATAATCAGTGTGTAAATACTGAACCATATAATTAAAAATGATTTATTATCTCATAAGCAACATGGTTTTGTTAAAAGCAAATACTGTACCACAAGTTTGTTGAAATATATAGATATTGTTACATCTTCAAATGCAAATAAAAAACAAGTTGATGTCTTATACATCGATTATGCTAAAGCTTTTGATACTGTTGAACATGAAAGATTACTACTAAAATTATCAGCTTATGGTATAAAATTGAATTTATTAAATTGGATCAGATCTTTCTTATCAAGTAGAAGTCAAAGAGTTATATATGGTGATGTTAATTCATTATGGCTAGAAATCAGAAGTGGTATCCCACAAGAATCCATTCTTGATCTTCTATTGTTTAATCTTTACATTAATGATTTGTGTTCATTATTTAAAAACTTATGCGAGCAAAATTTAATTTGGACGATAGCAAAGTTATTGCGTTATTAGATGAAAGAAGTAATGTTTCGAAACTACAAAATGATATTGACATTATAGAAGAATGATCTACAACTTCTGAGTTGGAAAATAATTTAGGAATAACAACTTCGCGAGATATAAAATGGGAAGTTCAAATTAAATCAGCAGTAACCAAAGCAAATAGTAGACTGGGTCTATTGTCAAAAATATTTTAATACAAAACCAAATTATCTTTTAGACAATTGTATATAAGCTATGTAAGACCATATCTTGAATATGCAATTCAAGTTTGGTCACCTCATATGGAGAAAGATATAAATATCCTTGAAAACATACAGAGACGAGTGACAAATTGATCCCGGAAATACGACATTTATCATATGAAAAACGATTATGCTCGTTAAATTTAATAACTCTATCAGAAAGAAGAAAAAGAGGGGATTTAATACAATTTTTTTAATGGTTTAAAAATATAGAAAAAATTGAATGGCTGGTTCTTCCTAAAAAAAATTATAAACTAGCTAGTTTAAGAAAACCAGATCATCATACAACTACTGATACCTATTTCAAAAATGATCTTCGTGAAAATTTCTTTACAAATTGAGTGTTAAAACTATGGAACAAACTGGTTAGTTCAGTTGTTAAATCGCAGCCTGTTAATGAGTTTATATCGAAAATAGACAAGCTATGTTTCGCAAGCTAATTGTTGGTTTTATTTAAGTTGTTTTGTATAATCTTGTAAAACCTGTTATTTGAGTCTGTCATAGGGTTGACTTGGCGTTAACCCTCAACAGAAAATATATTATTATTATTATTATTATTATTATTATTATTATTATTAGATCTGCGAAATTGTAAATAATTCCCTACCATTTAAATGTTTATGACAAAAAAGACATGGCCATCATTTCCTTTTACATCAATACTTAGCTGTAGCACCAGCTTAGCATGTTGAATACGTATTTTTTCAATAACTGATTTAGCAGTTATAAAACAAGTACCACCTGATCCTTGACATAACTTTTCAAATCATTTTTCAATAGGATTAAAAGAAAATCAACCTAAAATTACATATTCATTTCCACTTGAGAAAAGATGGCAAGACAAATCAATTAGGCCTTGAAAAGTATGTGAAAGTGCATTGCTTGTATCTCTTGTAAGCTGAGGAACTTGTTTACCAGATGTTGGTTTTATATTTTCAGCCATTGTTGCAATAGCAAGCAATTTTTTCAAGTTAGTGTCATCTGAAGATCTGATTACATTACGGGACTCTATATCTAAGATTTGCACCTGAACATTTAACAAACAACTATTTTCAAAAATTTATAATCAACTCCAAAAAAATAATAGTGCCCTTGACACTTTCCTGGTCTATTTTAAAATGAGTTTTTGGAGCTGCAACTGTCTTTTCACTAAATACTTGTAAACAAGTGCTTACTTTTTGCCGCTCTATTGGTTTAGAATTTATTGAGTATCAGTCAACTTAGATAACTTTAATAATTGGTTGTTTTTTTTTACAACATAATTGATTGTAAGTGGAACAACTTGTTGCAAAATATTCAAAAGCCCTGGTTATTATATCAGGAGAATAAACAGCACAGCCAACAGAATGATCTCTCATTACAATTAGATGCTCAAATTTGGTTTTCATCTAAAGCTGACTTTGTATTAAATGAAGTTATTCTGTTATTAAGAGGTTTAGCAGTACATTTTGAGCCATAATGAAATGCTTTAAACACTAAACTTTGATCAACTATTAGCAAAAATAAGTGGAACTCCACAATTAAATACTTTAGACTGGATAAAACTTTAGACTTGATAAAAATAAAACTGTTTTGCTTGTAAGTAATGATATCACTATAAAAAGATAAGTTTTTTTCAATATCTTTTATTTTAAATTTCAATTCATCTTTTTTGATCCCTCTATTTTGAAGAAGATAAAGTTTTTCTCATTTTCGGTGGTGGAAAGGATTATATTTGGTCTCAATTTACCATGATATAAAATAAACTCAGCATCATCTTGCCAATGCAATTTACAAACAATGCTATATTTTGTTAAAGTACAATGTGAAAGAGGGATACTCATAAACCACTTGTTTACTTTTCAGATTTACAAGGAAATTTGTATACAGATATTTTATAATTTGAAGACTTTTTTCCAGCACAATGTCAAAACCATATATAAGGACGGCCTTGTAACAATAGAAAATAATAAAACTTAAAAAATTTCTTTTTGTCTTCTTTCAATAAATAGGCATATAAATGGATTAATACTTTAGAGATACAGTTTTGAAGAGATGCAACAGAATAAAGTACACAACTGCAACTTTTTTATATTATAGAAACCAGGTGGTCTAAGGTTTTATCCTGTTTGTTGACTTTTTAATTTCTAATATTTAATTTAACTAATATTTTTTCATTAAATTCATAATATTATTATTCATAATATAGTTTATAAACTTACAATTTAAATATCATATATGCAGTGTACAAATTAGTATTTTAAAATTGAATAAATTTAAAGTAGAAGATTATTAACCTTTCAGCCACAAGTCATCTTTAAGAGCATCAGCAAATAATCTTGCGC